CCGGTGCCAGCGGCTGCCACCCGCCCGTGCACGCAGCAGCCTCGGGGCTGGGCACAGGCAGCTGCCTGAGCTCCCAAACCAGCAATCTGCAAATAAAGCCCGGCCGGGGGCAGCGCGGAGGCTGCTGCGGGAATCTGTGCCCGGACCCTGGGGGGGGACAGGGCAGAGGGGACCCCGGATGCTGTCAGAGAGCGGGTGAGAGCGAAAACATTCAAACAACCGGGACCACGGGAAGGGTCGAGACATTGCATCTGCCAGGATTTTCATGTAGGCAAGGAAAATTCCCACTGGCACAGACAGTGTCCCCTGGGGCCTTGTCCCCAGCACGGCCTCAGGTCCCCCCAGCTTCATCTGGGGACAGGAGACAGCTGGGGGGTCACTGTCCCCTCTGAACCCGGCTGGAAAAGCACAAACTCCACTGGGACACCGAGCAGGAGGCTGGGAGCCGGTGCCATCCCGTGGGTGCCAGAGCTGGACCCACGCTGGGTATTTTTAAACGCAGCTCCTGGCGGGTGTCGGCTTTCTTGGTGCCCGAGAGAGCTTCCCAGATTTGGCTGGGGGAATCCAGGGGCTCTGGCAGCAGGGCCGTGCCAGGACCGTGGCCGGGGGCCAGTGCAGTGTGACCTTTAAAGGTCTGCGAGATGAATTACATTATCGTCTTGCCATTGGGGTCACTTCTGGCTTGGCTTTCAGCTGGACACAGGACTCCAGCTGTCTTATGTCTCACCAGATCCAGCCCCGGGGGGCTCCAGGGACAGAGGGTGGGCTCCTCTCCCCCTCACCTGGAGGGCTGCCTGCACTGAAGTTCCCAAAAATCCCCAAAAGGGGTTACAGGGGAAGCGGGATCCTCAAACCCCAGTTCAGCCCCGACTCTGGCTTCCCTTGGCCAGCCCTAGGGCTTGGGAATCTGCTGGTCACATTCCTCCCTCATTCCCTTTCGGGGGCTTTTGCTAAGCCAGCGTTTTGGGGAATGTCCTTTGCACCCATTGGCTGTGCCGTGACCTTTCCCAGGGACAGTGGTGGCCGCCACCAGACAGCCAGTGGCCATGGGGGTCCAGTTCCAGCACGAGGGGAAGCCTGGGGAAGTTCCCACGCTTCCAACCCCGTGTCCATCCTCGGCCTGGATGAGGGAGGGGCGGCATCGGGGTCCCCTCTGACGCGTCTCTCTCCCCGCAGAGATGCCCTGCATCCAGGCACAGTGCAGCACCACGGGCGCCGGCCCCTGTGAGCGCTGCCCGGCCGAACTGCTCTGCCCCGAGGGCGGCCGATTCCCCATGGAAGTGGCTGGAGCCGATCTGGCGGCCGCCCCCGCCCTGCCCAGCTTCAGCACCTTCATGGAGGGCTACGCCGGCGAGTTTGACGCCTTCCTCTACCAGCTGCCAGCCAGCGGCCAGTCCAGCGCCGCCACCGCCTTCAAGCTGGAGGACTTCCAGGTGTACGGCTGCTATCCCAGCGCCTTCGGTGGGCAGCCGGACGAGACCCTCTCCTCCAGTGGCTCGGACTGCTACGGGAGCCCCTGCTCCATCCCCTCGCCCGCCACGCCGGGCTTCCAGCCCCCACAGGCCCCGGGCTGGGAGGGCTCCTTCGGGGCGTACTCACCGCTGCCAAACTACGAGGGTGGGCAGTCCTGGGCTGAGCCAGCCAAGGGCGGGGGGTCACAGCCCCCCTTCTTCGCCTTCGGCCCCCCGACCCCCAGCCCTGGGGGATCTCCTGCCACCCTGAAGGGGCAGCCGGGCCCCTCTCCCCGTGTGGATCCGCGGCTGCTGGACACGGACGCCTTTCCCCAAGGTCCTCCCAGGGGTTTTGCGGGGCTGCCCCTGGCCCCCAGCTCACCGCTGCTGGAGGGGCCAGCGCTGGCTCCCAGCAAGGTGCGCAGCCCCGGGGCAGGTGAGGGCCGCTGCGCCGTCTGCGGGGACAACGCGTCCTGCCAGCACTACGGGGTGCGCACCTGCGAGGGCTGCAAGGGCTTCTTCAAGGTGAGCGGGGCAGGGCAGGGCTCGGGGCGGCGGGGGGACCCTGCGGGGACGGGAGCCCGCAGATGGAAATCGGTTAGGACAGAGAAGCGCGTCTGAGCTAACCGTGTGGAACGCAATTCCCTGTGGTAAAATTAAGTGATCTCTTTATTTCGCCATCCTGATTGAATAATCTTATCATTTTAAATAGAGAAGGTCTCCAAGGAATGTAAATAATATGAATGCCCACGGATTTGTATTTACCGAGCGTCTCTTTCCCTCCTCTTGGCATATAAAACACGGCTAGGAGCTGCGAGGTTAGCTTGGATGTTAACGCTGTCAATTTTCTCCTGTTAAATGCCCTGGGAAAGAAAAAAAAAATAAAGGAAAAAAAAAAAAAGAAGGAAGGAAGAGGAGGGGGGGAAGGAAAAGGAAATAAAAGGAAAAAAAGGAAACTAAATAAAGGGGAAAAGGGAAAAAAGGGAACTAAATAAAGGGGAAAAGAAAAGGGAAGAAAGGAAACTAAATAAAGGGGAAAAGGAAATAAAAGGGAAAAAAGGGAACTAAATAAAGGGGAAAAGAAAAGGGAAGAAAGGAAACTAAATAAAAGGGAAAAAAGGGAACTAAATAAAGGGGAAAAGGAAAGAAAAGGGAAAAAAGGGAAACTAAATAAGGGGGAAAAGGGAAAAAAGGGAAACTAAATAAGGGGGAAAAGGGAAAAAAGGGAAACTAAATAAGGGGGAAAAGGGAAAAAAGGGAAACTAAATAAGGGGGGAAAAGGGAAAGGAATTAAAGGGAAATGAAAATAAGTCTTAAAAGGTAAAAGAATAAAAGGGAAAGAGGAAATAATAGGAAAGAAAAATTTAAAAGGAGAAGAGATTAAAAGGAAAAAAGCGGAAGGGATATAAAGGTAAAAAGGAGAAGTAAAGATAAAAAAGGGTAAAGAAAATGAAGGGAAAAAAAGGAAAGCGGGAGCAGAAAACGAAGGGGAAAGGGGACGAACCAAAGCGGAAAAACGGAGAAGAAGATCAAGGGGGGGAAGGGAAAGGAAAGCAAGGGGGAAAGGACGTGCGGGGAGGAGCGGGGCGGGCGCGGGGCGCTCCGGGCGGGCTCTGACCGCGGCCGCTCGGGCCCGCAGCGCACGGTGCAGAAGAACGCCAAGTACGTGTGTCTGGCCAACAAGAACTGCCCGGTGGACAAGCGCCGCCGCAACCGCTGCCAGTACTGCCGCTTCCAGAAGTGCCTGGCCGTCGGCATGGTCAAGGAGGGTGAGTGTCCGTGTGTGTCCGTGTGTGTCCGTGTGTGTCCGTG